TGCCCAGATCCCGCTCAGGAGGTACAGCTGCCTTCTGGGCAAAAACAGAGGAGCGATTTCATGCGCCGTCAACACCTTTCCCTTTGGTGAAAATGGGGACACAACATTTCTTCACACTCTGTTTGTGGTCTACTTAACTGCCTACTCTGGGTGCTGGGGACATGCACATAGGGGCACAGGAGGCTAAGGGACACCCAGTAACGATCCCTCACACCTGTGGGGCGTCCTGAGGGTGAAAGAGTGAAGTTATGCACAGCCCACTGGAGCCTGGCAACAACCTCCCATTTCACAGACGTGTGAAAGCAAAGTTCACAGGAAATGCCTCGCTTAGGAATTCCTAAAGCGGGGATGCAAGCCTAGGTCCTCTGACTCCGAATACCACGACCCTCCTGCCCTGTCTAAAGGAGGTCAGAGATCGTGCCATTTTCAATCCGTTGCCTTTTCATAAGAACAACATAGGAGCAGGTTCACCGATGGAAAGAACCCTGACCACTTCTCGCCTTCCCTGGGTTCTAATAGGCGACCGAGGCAGATGGGGCAGGAAAAGCTGGAGACAAGGCAGGAGGTGGGGAGCTGGTGCCTAGAAGGAGAGTATCCAGTGTCAAGTCCCAGCCTGAGAGGAAGGGAGAGGAACAAACCCACCAGATGTGGTCATTGTCTGAATTGTTCATCTTAATGCCCGGGGCCCAGCTCAGAGCCACGGAGACACCGAGTAATTGTGTGATGAATCGCAGCTGAAGATTAAAAGCCCCACGTGGGGGAAGTTCTGCAGTGGTGGGTGGTGAGCCTCTGCCTTGAAGAGCAGACATCCTTGGGACGCAGAGGGTTCCTTTTCCCACAGCAAGGTGGAGAGCAAAGGAGTGCCAGAGGGCAGGGGAGGTGGAATAGGAAGGGACAGGGGTGGGCCTCGAGGGCTCTGTGATGACAGATCCTGAGCTTAGGGGCTGAGTGCTACCACCGGAGCAAGGTTTTCCAACGTGAGCAAGGTTTTTAAACCCAAGAGCAATGAGAGACACCTACAGGTCTGATCCGAGGGCCAGCTGCACTGACATGCATGCATGTGCTCTGTGAATTGCAAAAATTAAGCACCTGTATTCTTACAGGCAAGGCCAAATTCTTCCTTCTGCAGAAGCACCAAATGACAGCTGCCCTTGGCTAGGTCACCCTTCGGGGAAGAGGTGATCTTAACTTCTGAGGCCCTTTCTTCAGAAACAGGAAAATCCCTTATAGAGGCCCTGAATTGTCCCAAGAATGGCTTCTTGGACTTTCGGCCTCTTCGGAGGATGTTACTGCACCATGATCGGCTCAGAACAGTGCGCTGAGTGCTCCAGGGGATCCGAACTCTTATCTGCTGCCCGGTCCCTCCCCAACTTGCATGGCCCTAATACTCTGTCTGTCCCAAGCTCTAAGGAAGAAGTCTGTGCTCTGAGAGGCAAAGCCACCTCTCAACGGCCCAAGACCAAGGGTCTCTTGATTCCTAGCCTGTTCCTACCTCCCGGAGACCTCTGTCCTCTCCCTACACGCCCCGTGCTGCCCACGGCCTTTCCCCACCCTGGTCCCAGACAGCGAAGAGAGGAGAATCCAGTTGCCCACTCCACGGCACACCACTATATCCCCACTTGGCACACGCCAGGCCCCGAAAGCCTCATCTTAGAAGGTGGTAAGCTTCGGGGATAAGGATGTCGCGATGTGTTAACACAACACATAAAGGGGGCGTAGATTTCAACATTTTTTTTCACCTAATTCCTTGTTGCCTACTTTACCATAATCCTCACCTTCTTCTCTCGCTTGCCTGACCGGTGACAAGAAGCAATGTTTCTAGTGCTTACTCACAGCTTATGAAGCGCTTCGCCGCACAATGTATATTTCTCCACATAAGAGAATATAGTTAATGGTGGGAAGACCTCGGCCAGGAGGCAGGTCTTTTATTTGAGAATTGCCCTTACCCAGCTCCCGCAAACAGGGGCGGGAAGGGCCACGTGACATAACACAGATGGTCTGAAAACCTTATGCCCACTAAGTTATGATTGGCGGCACAGCCCCCAGGGCTGAAGCAGTGTCGACAAGCAGGTAAAACCGGATGGGCCGAAAAGCTGTAGGCACCATCTCTTGTTGACCGTCTTCTTGAGTTCACATATATGCCCAGACCCTGCTCCCCAAAGCCATAAGCCATTCACAGCCTAGATTATAACTGCCTGGGTAGGCCTATCCCAAGGAGACTTGGAAAAGGTAGGGAGATCAAAAGTTCCACGGACTGACAGGGCCCATACAGCGAGGACAGCAAAAGCCCCCAACTGGTCAGCATGCTAGGCGTCCAGGTGCCACGATCTAGGTATCTCTCCCGTGGCCTCTCCCCTATTCACCCTTCCCAAGTAGCCTCTGACTCGCTGCTGCCGCCGCCGAGGGGCCCCTTTCTTCCCTCCTTGACTCTCCTGGGTTCCCTCCCTCCCACTGGAGTTCCCCTGGGCTCCAGCAGCACTCTAAAGAAATGCAAGGATTGCAGACTCGGAGATCAGGAGGTGCCGAAGGGACTGAGCCACACCTGGTGTGGGTAAGATGGGCTGCTCTGGCTCTGGACCCAATTCCTTGGGCTCCCAATACCTTTAGGAGTGCAGATGAGGGAAGGGCATTCCTGGCAGGATTTAGAAACAGAGGACCATTGAGTAGTTGAGAAGTCTGAGAGTAACCCTGGCCCAGCTGGACCTGTTGCCAAACCAGCCTAGGGCTGCTAAATCCCCACTGCTCCAGGCCCCTCTCGACCTGGGCTTTGCAAACTCTCCTCCCAATTCCCCAGCCCGGGGCCCAAGAACCGACCCTTTAGGGGGTGGGTCCTGGTAGTCCTTGCAAGCCTGAGAACAGGAGCTCCCGGACGGGCTCTCTGTGGCAGCCATTGCGGACCTTCTCAGAGCAGCAGCAAGCCCGGCGGGGACCGGCCTTTTCCTTCCTCACCCCCTACTCTGGCTGGAGAGTGAGGGACGTGCGCTGAATCCCACACCTGGCTCCTCTCCCGCTCCGCTCCTCGGCGCCCAGAAGCGGCCATCTTCCGAGCTGGGGATGCCAAACTCCTAGGGCCCGAGGGCCCCCTTTGGGGAGTACCTGGCTCCGTGTGAACCCGGCGGAAGGATGGGAGGCCTGTGTCCTCCGCGCGCTCGGTAGACCCGGTTCCCCACCGCTTGGATCTCCACCGCGCTGCTGCCTCCCGGGCTCCAAAATCCGACCCCCGTAGCCAGGTGGCCCCAATGTCCTAAAGGATGAGGATTTGGGGCGGGGAACGAGCGCAGTAGGCACACTTTCCTTGCCTCCTGGACGCTCCATTCAGCGCTGAAGGTCTGGTTTGGAGCCCTGGGATCCCTGGCTCCTGACTCCCGCCTGCAGAAGAGAAAGGCGGCGGGAGAGCCCCCACACCCTTACCGTAGCGTCCTCCCCCGCGTAGTGCCCGATGACCCGCTGGCCCCCTGGGTGCCGGCTGGACCATTTGGTGATGTTGTAGACCTTGCGGTCGATGACGAGCCACTTGTCCGTGCGCAGGTTGTGCTTCTGAATCTCCTCCCAGCTGAAGGTGGGCATGGGCGCCTCGCGCTCGGTGGCCCCCTCGCCCTGGTTCCCCCCTTTCCCCATGCTGCCTGCTGACCGGGATGCCCCGTGCACTGTGGCCTCCACGCCCGCAGCTCGAGTGTGCGGCCCGGGCCCTCCTCCCTTTCGGCTTTTGTCTTCTCCTACTCCTCCTCCCGCCGCGCCCTTCCCCCAGCCTTCTTGCCCGCGCTCGGGAGTCACCCCTGCCTTCCCTCTGACTGTCCCCGGCTACCCAGGGCCCCCAATTGGTGTCTGTGCTCCGCCCCGCCCTCCGCCCGCCAGCCCGCAGTGGACTTTTGCCTCCAGGAAAAACTCCGGGGTCGTTCAGGACCTGGACGCCTCTTCCGCCCGCCCCTCCGGCTCCCCCCGCCCGCGGCTCCGCATCCTCCCGCGTTCCCCGCCGCCCTGGTTTCCACAGTGATCAGCAGAGCGCCTGCACCAATCCGGGCGCGTCGCCCCGCCTGCCATTGGCCCAGGAGGATCTTTCGAAGGCCAGCGGGCTGGAGCGGTGGTCCCCGGCTCCCCCGCCCTCGCGCCCGCGCTGAGTCGAGCCCAGCGGCAAGGCCGCTACGTGTCGGACCTCCTCCCCCCCCCCTCCCCCGCGCTCCAGCCCCAGGCGCCGGCGGAGAGAGCTCAGAGGAGCCGGGCGGGCAGACCAGGCGGTTGCTGGGCGCGTAAGCGCACGCCCGGCGCTCCCGGGCTCTGCACCTGACGCGGGCACACTCCCGGCCCGGCTCGGCCAGGTCTGGGCGACGCCCTTCCCCCGCCCGCTGGACCCGGGAGTCCGTTATCTCCGCGTTGCCCGCGCTCTCCACATGAGCGCCGTCCTGCAGCCTCCCTGGAGAAACGAGCCGGCCCCGGACTCGTGCAGGGCTCTGAACCCTGTAATCAGACGCCCTCAGGAAAGAATTGGGGGACCTCTGCTCTGCTTCTTTGTGCGAGGCGCCATGGTGGTGGGGGGAGCGGGGGGGCGCGGCGACCAACCGGACACGGTCCTTGCCCTGTACTCAGGAAGCGCACGGGCGAGTTGGGCGACGGGACAGGGAGCGCACACGAAGCACTGGACAGTACTGCCGGACAGACTCCAGGAAATAAAGATGGAGACATCAAAAGGATAGGTGGAGAGGCAGGCCCCCAGACTCCAGCTGGTTGGAGCTTGCTTGGGATCGATGCCCCGAGCCCTGGATCGTGAAGGTGGCCTGAGGATATAAGTGGGACGTAAGGATGAACAGAGGCAGGTGGCGGTGAGGACAGCCTTGGGAATCAGGGGTTCATAAGCGGCCCTCATGTTTCAGTGGGGTGATTTCTAGGTCCCTGAGGGCTGGCACACTCCCCTCGTTAGCTTCTCACCCCAACCCTGTGAGGTGAAGGTGTAGCAGGACTAACTCGATCTTGAATTCATTTTGCCTCGAACACTTCTCCCTCCACACTTCAGACTTTTGAGTGCTCTAAGCCAGCTGGAGGAACTAGCTGAAATCAGAACGCTGAATTAAGACAGAACACATTTGCACAAAATAATCAGCATGTTCTTGCATGTTACCCCCTAAGCAAGTGATAAGCTTACAGTAATCAATTCTGTTTAGAGTTTCTTAAGGAACTTGAAGAACCTGGCCCATGTTTATAGAAGACATCGGATTGATTGCTCAAACCCTGGTGGCACCTTAGCCAGTTTCTTTTCCTGTTTCCCTCCCCCTTTAAAAACCCCTCGACGCACTGAGATGGGAAGACGGTTTTTTGGGACATTAGCCCACCCTCTTCTTGGTTAACTGGTTTCTCAAATAAAGTTGCTTTTGTTGCTCCAGCTCCTTGTCTCTTACTGGCCTCTCGTGGGGCAAGCAGAGCAGGCCTGTGTTTGATGACAAACAGGACCCATGTTGTTATATTGAACTACAACCTGGAGGGACTGAGGTTTAAGAAAGATGAACCAGGCAGGTACTTGCGGCTGGCCACTAGCACAGCTGGGCACCTTCCGGACATCACCCTGCCTGTCTCCTAATGAGGTCAGTGAAAAGGACCTACTGTAGAACTTTGGTGTGGAGCAACCTGATGCAGGGCGGGTAGGAAAATCACTCTAGCCAACTGGGGGTGGGGGGACAGTGGAGGCCACACAGGGTCCCCTTCGTGACATTGTCACGGTGGTCAGCCTCCTCTGTGTCAGGCTCGTAGCAGTCCTGAGTGTGCTTCGTTCACTTCATAAACTCCGACAGGAAGAGAATAAGGCCGCTCTGACTTTAAAGAGTAGCACTAGACATCTGAACCCAAAAGCCTGGCTCACGGGATAAGAGAGGATGAAGCAAGCCCCCGCCCCCCGACACCAGGAGAGTACACTGACTTTTACGTCTGTTAAAGATGTACTGAAACAGTAAGGAAGACTGTAATTTTTTTCAAAAGGGGGATTGTCACAAATACATAACTTTAATGAAAAAATTTAAAAGGTCGGGGAGCTCAGAATGAGTGACAATCTGAACGGGAGAAACGGGGACTCTCTCATGGAGGAGCCTCACAGGCTAAGAACAGGTCACGAGAAGGCATCAAGGTCCAAAAGGCGGTGAGTGCAGCTGAGGATGGGCACGAAGTGGGGACCAGCCAGGTGTGGGGTGCCCAGCAGATCCCAGCATAATGCCACCCAGAGTAGGCTCGGAAAGACATTTGCTGAAGACGTGAATGAGTGCATGAATGAAAGAATGAATAAAGAACAGAAGGGAATGGCTCCAGCCACAGTTTTCTCAGACCTGCAACGGGCAGAGTTCAAAATGGGAAAAGCCTCGCATGCTTTGCCAGGTATGGAGGACTTTATCCAGGGGGGAGGTGGGGAGATTCATAAAGCAGGAGTGTTGGCTATGCCCAGATCCAGGAGAGACCTCAGGAGGTAAGCTCGGGCTGGACGGGAACCAAGGGGGACCTTGCGGCAATCCAGAAGAGAGTAGAGGAGGGGCTGAAGCCAGAGGGAGTCCGAGGCAGGCAGACGCCACCTTGCCTTCATCTGCCCTTCTCCTGCTCTATTACTTATTGCTGTCACTACTCGGAGGGGCCTGACAAGACTGTTCCCTTAGAGAAAACCCCATAGTACCCAGCTGACCCCAGAGCCACTCAGGAAAAGAGGTGATCTCAGAGAGGGCCGAGGTTCCCATGGTTTCCTCCTGCCCCACAGAATCCCTCCTCCCGAGGACTGCAGCTTCCTGGGGATTCTGCCAGGACCTCATCGTGATCACTGTACTTTATCAGGAACAAAAGAGAAAAGCGTGGGTGGCTTGGAGCCCAGGTCCTCCCTGCCAGCCAAGTGGGTGAAGGCCTGGGGGAGGGGTGCCTTAGGAGACAGGGCCTGAGGGCAGAGCCTGTGCAACCAGTCCCCACAGGACGGCCGGGTGGCCTTTCGGTCTGTGCTCACAGGGGCTCTCTGAGGTCTGCAGGTGGATGCGTGGGGTCACGGGAGTGAAGAGACTGGTTAACCAGCAGGAGAGTGAATGTGGAAAATGCCTGCAGGAGGCAGCCACAGCGGAAGTGGGGGTGTGAGAGCATAGGGGGGTGAGGAGAGGGAACAGGGTTCTAACATGGAGCCCCTCAGAGGCAGAGGGCCGGTGGCCGAGGGAGTACGCTCCTCCTGGCCCCTTCTGGCTCTTCCTTTCCCTGGTTCATAAAGATGGCCAAGGCAACACTAATCTTTTTCTTTTTAAGATTTTATTTATTTATTTGACAAAGAGAGAGAGTGATCACAAGTAGGCAGAGTGGCAGGCAGAGGGAGAGGGAGGGGCAGGCTCCCTGCTGAGCAACAAGCCCAATGCGGGGCTCGATCCCAGGACCCTGAGTTCATGACCTGAGCCGAAGCCAGACGCTTAACCCACTGAGTCCCCCTGGTGCCCTTCATCTTCACAGGTGACTTTCTGTCAAGCCATGGCTCTTATCTTTCACAGTCCATGTGTTGTCAGGTTTTGTGAATGAACAGTCGATCCTCTCTGGGACTCCTTCCCGTTTCCCATTCATTTCTCTGATCATTATAATCTCCGATTTTAATAGTGGCGGTAACCACCCCTCGTGTTGGCCTATCATGTTAGGGTGTCCAGAGGACTCTCATACGGTGGACAAAAGCACTTGGCACAATGCCCAGGACAAAGGAGGCATTCAAAGGGGCTCTTGACCCTTCCTCCTCTGGATCTCATTCCTCACAGCAAGGCCGAAAATGGGTATTCTTACTCCATCTTTGCTGCTGTGGACACGGACACTGGCCCCCTCAACCAGCAGATAGCAGACTGAGTCCTAGAACACAAACCCCAGATCCTCCTCCCATCAAACCTTCTAGAACCCTCTCTGAAAGGTCTCCAGCAAGTCCAATCACATTTTCTCAGACCTCTCAGAGACTTCTGGCAGGCTGACATCCTTTCCTCTTGCCATGCCACCCTCTCTTGGTTCTTTGGCAATACAGAATCCCAATTCTACCGTTGGACCACAGCCTTTTTTGTCTCCGTTTGCTTGTCTTCCTTCTCCTCCCCTCTAAATGTTCTTGGCCCTTGGCTCACCCAATATTTTCTCCTTCAGGGCCCACATTTGGGACGTGATCACATCAGGGGTGACTCTGGATCTCAAATCTATATCCACTTACTTCCACTTACTTCCAACTCTGAACGTCCTGCTAGCATCACAGACTCGACATAACCTCCCCGAGTCAAGAATTAGGTCTCAACGGATGTGTCCTTTGGACCTACGCAGGTCTCACCTTCACTGTTTTTGATGCAAAAGTGAACTTGGCATCTTCCCTTCCAAATGGCAGCCCTGCCTTTTAACTTCCTCATTTCTATTAATGATACCACTTTGCTTCCTGTCACTCGGGCTCAGAATTTCAGAATGTCTTTTACTTCTCTTTCTCTTGCCTCCCACCTTTGCAAAGAAAAGTCGTTGTGTTCAACAGATTCTACCTCTGACAGTGTTTCCCATCTGTCCCTTTAATTCCGTTGCCACTGCCACTGTCCGGGTGGAGGGTGTCCGACACTTGGCCACTGCACGCGCCACCACAATGTCATTTTGCTGAGTGAGACTCCTGTCCAAGGGTTCTCATTGCCTAGTGAATTAAGCAGGGGTGGGGTGAGGAAGGGACGCATGTAAATATTAATAATCTTCCTGGAAGGTAGTGGCCTTTTCTGCAGCTCCAACCCAAATGGCTAAAAAAGTATAGGAGAGGACACTAGGGGGATATCACCTTATTTTTTGCAAAATCCTTGTAGGAATGTCCTACGTAGTTCTGATCATGAAACCAACTACTGACTAAGGAGAGGATATTGTTCATGCAGAAGGATGCTCCTCATTAGTCTGCAGACTGAAAGAAGAAATAAGTAAGGATAAATTAGGGGGAGTCAGGCTTGTTCACTAAGTCCTAGAATACCAAAACAAGAGTGCCTCCTTGAGACCGGAGAAGAAATGAACGCAACGATACATATTAAGAGAAGCCTTACTTCATGTAGCGGGAAAGCAGGGTAAGAATGAACGGGTAATGCCCGCTCTGGAATACTTACTTGGGGAACGCAGGCTGGGTGGGGTGTGTCTAATCTCTGATTCTCACAGCAGAGAAGATCATCACGCGCA